TGGCACTTTCATTTACGTCAGTCTGACAGTAATGATTATCGAACACCGAATCGGCGGGCGTTACGATATTGGAGCAATTCCCGGAACCGTTTAAACGCATTTGAACTTTAAACTGGTGATTGACATGGAATCTGAAAGGGGTGTACCCCCTCTTTCAGATTTATTCTTTTGAACATGATAAACAACGGATTTAGGGGCTGTAGGAACCGCTCTATTCTCAATCGATTGTGACTCAATTGCTCGAAGGGACGAAAAGAACAGTTATTGTTTCGTGTGGTCATGGATTACGTTCATGTACATATAATTTGAGGTCCTTTGCATGCGCCATAATTCTGTCGTGTCGCAACAATTACTACGCACTAATGTAATATGATAAACCAATCGAATTACGGTTATAGCAAGCAAGACAGGAATTTTCCTGTTACCAGCCTACCGTCGTAAATACCTTCAACTGGGTGAATGAGAGGATATTTGTTATCGTATCTGTGGCATCACGACTTGCATGTTAGTAAAAACACAAGGCATCTTGATTTCGGTGTTCCTGTTGTGGTCTGGAGTACATGCATTGGGTTTTCATCCCTTGGCAAAACGGATGGTCCAAGATAATATATATCGTTGCTGAACACTTCCGATGTAGGATGCAGGTTTTTTTTTTTTAATATAGAATATCTATATCGCCATCATATGTCACTGGGAGATCATAATTGTGGAGCATGTGCCAGAGAATTGCCGCGTTTCGCCGGCAAAACTGATGGATCCTATCATTTCCGAGGATATCTCATATCCACCATATGCCTTATCACGATAGAACCAAGCAACGATAGACGATCGAAATGTCTATCTATTCGGAAATTGCGCTGCTATAAATCAGTATTTAGTGGGTATTAACTCCTTAATGATTTCTAAGCTGAACGCGCACGTAATCGTACAAGGTATGGTTAAGAAGGGAATAACCTTCACATGGACCTTAAAGCCGTAATTCGAATCAGATATAGCTGTATTGGGCCTTTTTATCCTAGCCTCTGTCCGATTTATTTTGTATTGGACACCTAGACGGCGGCAAAATTGATGAAAAACCACAATACTTACTAATAAAAATAAGCAGCCGTTCGCCTGATAACGAAGAGTTTTAATGTAGCTTAGTTTTTGGCGAGATACATTACAGTGAATTAGTCTAGCTAATTCCTCGAAGATAACTGGAGACAGTTTGGCTGGAAAACCTACAACACCTGCAGAAGAAAATAGCAAACAAAATGAATGTGTGCGGACGAGAGCTCATTTATTTATACATGTATACCTACATATATATATGTTGATCTGAATTTGCGGCGAGCCATTACTGGCGTCAACCGCAAAAAGACAATTGAAATGTCTCGCATGATTTGAATACAGACCTTCAAGTTGGTACCCAAGTTGGGCAACCTAAAACAAGCTTTGTCTGCGGCTGTCACCTACTAACGAGCTATGAAAAAAAAGGCTTTCACAGCTACGCGAGATCCCATCACAGACTGCTATCGTGCTTAGCGGATGTTCGAAGTAAAGAGGCCGTGCGTTTGTTGTTGTTGCTCGTACAAATGCGCGCTGTGGTTGTTGGCGCTGTAGCCACGAAGACTGTCGTTCTTGATCCAAGCTTATGTTATTCCGCAATTTCCCCTCCAGTACCCGGGCCCAGAACAAGCGTCACCCGCGAAAATGCGTTTTTCCAACATCTTTCTGATGGTATCTGCCGCTGTCCTCCTCACTTCCGACCTCTGTGGAGCCACGAACGCCCAAGGCGACATCGTTTCAAAGCTGGGGCCAGAAATGGTTCGCTCGGCGGATGCGTTTGCCAGTGTCAAGAGATCCCTACGCAGCCACAACGTCGACGGAGACGATGAGGAAGAGAGAGCTGGAGGTGTTAACGCGTTTGAAGAAGGAAAACTCAATAAGATGCTGGGCGATATCAACTTCGCATACAAGAAGTTCGCCAAATGGTCCAATCGCGGATGGACGTCAAACGATGTGTATGATCATGTGCCATACAAGCTCTATTCCCAGTACTACGACTACCGCAAGATCGCTGGCCACGCTTCTTAGGCTAATCGCGAAAGTGTGACAGAGCCATGGTTAACACAGAACCCTTCTTTCCTTCACGAGGAAAACCATATAGCAAATGCGATTGCAAATACAGCAGATTCATTTCATGGTGAAATCATTTTTAGCTACTCTAACTCCTTCAATGAAATGCGTAATGCGCAGATCACGACTTAACTGGCTTATCTCTATGTTATCCACTAAGTGTCAACTTCTTGTAGCATTTGCGTAGCTTTCGTTGTTAATGGACAACATCATATCTACAGCTTCTCCTTGGCACGCTTTCGCAACCATCACTAGTTTCCCACTGCGCTCGTAGGTAGCCACCAT